ACACCAAAAAAAGGAAAGAAAGAAACATACGTGTGGGGAATGTGTATACGAAGACCTTAAACGTGGAAGGGACACACCAAATGGTACCAGTGGTCAACTCGGAAGAATCCAACTTAAGGGGATAGGCAACAGGAAGGACTGGACTCGTAATAGAAAAGCTCTTAGGTCACCAAAAAGCAAACTTACTTGTCATATAACAAATACTATTTGACTCCTTCAAATGTTTTACGAAAGGTAATTATAACTTCTGTTGTTCTAATCTACACTTTATCCAAGAAAAAACATTTTTGGTTGTCTGTAAACTATGCCTCTCAAAATGAAGTACTGTATTCAAAAAAATCATTTTTATTTGACTTTAAGAGTGAATAGGATAGTTTTTGTAATCAAATTTAATTTTTAAAAATTACAAATGGGGAATTTCCTGGCGGTCCAGTGGATAGGACTCCGTGCTTCCACCACAGGGGGCACGGGTTAGATCCCTGGTCAGGGAACTAAGATTCCACATGCTGTGGCAAAAAAAAAAAAAAAAAAAGACAACTATATTAGGGAAAAAAGAATCAAAGCTCTCCCCTGCCCCCGAGTCACTACTATTTCACCACCTTGTGAAAACTATTCAGAATTTGGAGATTTCCCTCTAATCTCTGTTTTATTTTAATATCATTTATTTTCAATTATAAAACTTGCACATGCTCACAGAAAATGTAATTGAAAAAGTACAGAAAAGTAGCTGCAACCTTACCACTCAGGTATAAACTAATAATAATAGGTTGGTGTTTTCCTTTTACATGTAAGAATATTTAAAACACATTTTTCAGTCATTGTAGCTTTTCAGTGGTACTAACCAAACAAAACAGAAAGGTACAGAGCCATAATTCATAATCTTGCTGCTTGGTGGCATCTATAACAAGATCAGCCACGTACTAAGCACTCACAAGCCCACCACCCAGGTGCTAAGAATTTCTATTTTTATAAACATTGGCAACCATACTTTTTCCAGTAGTAAGCGCTCATTCTAGAAAATCTGGAACACAGACACACATTCATTTCCTCATTCAACATACTCTTCCTGAATCCTTATCTGTGTCAGGCCCTGCGCAATCAATGGTCAGCGAGACAAGTGAGCCCTTGCCCTCAGAAGACTCACAATACCCCTCGCTGTAGAACAGTAAAAGGAATAGCGACAAATATACAACTCCCCACTCCCCACAATTACCAAATGTCTGCATTGTAGTTGCTTCAGAGCCACAGGAAGGGAGGGCGGGAAGGAGGAAAAGAACAGAACTTCATTGACAAAGTTAAGCGCCTTTGTACCTCTACTGAATCCTATTCCCCTCCACCATCGCTTCCCAAGCTCATAAATTGGTTAAGTGCGCTTCTATTTTTCACTGGACGTATCCATAACCATAAACATCATATAGCATTGCTATGTTTTTAAAATTTGGATAAACTGTGTCATGATGTATGTGTATGCCTGGCAACTTGCATTTTCAGACAACACTGTATTCTTTGAGCACCTAACTGTGTTGATACATTGAATATGCTCTAGTTCCTCACTTTGTCTGCTTGTGTTCCATCATTATGTACATCACAGTATATCCATTTCCCCAAAGCATTACTTGTGCATTCAGGTTAATTCCCAATCTTCTGCTGTGACAGTGCTGTTATGAACATTCCCTGTACATATCTTATGCACTATGTGTGTGGGGACTGAGGGTATATATATCTAGATGGCACATTTTCAATTTTACTAGAAATTGCCAAATGGATCCCCAAAGTATATGAACGTTTCCTTACATCCTTACTGAAACTCGATGTCATCAAACATTTCATTTTTCCCAGTTTTGGGGAAAATCAAGGCTGATGTTGACTGAATTTGCATTTCCTGGTACTTCATGAGTTTGAGCACCTCATCTAGGTTTATCAGCCATTTGGGTTTTTTCCTCTGTGAAATGCTTTTTTTAAAATATCATATATCCGGGCTTCCCTGGTGGCACAGTGGTTAAGAATCCGCCTGCTAATGCAGGGGACAAGGGTTCGAGCCCTGGTCTGGGGAGATCCCACATGCAACTAAGCCCATGTGCCACAACTACTGAGCCTGCGCTCTAGAGCCTGCGAGCCACAACTACTGAGCCCGTGTGCCACAACTACTGAAGCCCGCGTGCCTAGAGCCTGTGCTCTGCAACAAGAGGAGCCACCGCAATGAGAAGCCCGCGCACCACAATGAAGAGTAGCCCCCACTCTGATTTTTCACAAGTTTAAATCCATTTATGACCAATGGAAATTTGAACCTGATTTGGTATTTCATGATATTAAAGATTAACTTTTTTCTTTGTTATAATGGCATTGTAGTTATGTTTTTGAAAGAGTCCCTGTTTCTTATAGGTACATACTGAAATATTTATGGATCAAACAACATGATGACTTTGATTCACTCTAAAATAACATAATAAGTACTAATGCTGGCACAATATGTGGAAAGGAGAGCCCTCACAGTTTCTGGTGGGACTGGAAAATGGTACAGTCACTTTGAAAGTGCTTTGGCAGTTTCTTTAGAAGTTAAATACATATCTTCCATATGACCCAGCAATTCTACTCCACTCCTAGCTATCACCCCGCAAAATGAAAACATATGTCCCCACAAAGACCTGCATGTGAATGTCTGCAGCAATATTATTCACAATAGCCAAAAAAGGAAACCCAAATGTCCATCACTGGTGAATGGCTGAGCATAAGGTGGTATATGCATACAATGGAATAGTAGTCAGCCATTGAAAGGAATGAATTACTAATACACAGTACAACATGTATGAACCTCAACAACATAAATAAAAGAAGCCACACACAAAAGATCACATACTGTGTGATTCCATTTACATGAAATATCCAGAAAGGGCAAATCTACGGAGACAGAAAGTAGATTAGTGGTTCTCTGGGGCTGGAGGTGGGAATAGGAGTTAACTGTAAACCAACACAAGGGATCTTACAGAGATGATGGAAATGTTCTATGGCTGAACAGTGGTGACAGATGCACAACTCAGTAAATTTACTAACAAATCACTGAACTGAACACTTAAAATGGGTGAATTTTAATGTATATAAACTATGCCTCAATAAAGTTGTTTCAAAAAGTTAAGGAATCTAAAGAAAGAACAAAAGAGAAGAAATTTGAGAAGACTGAGAAAACCAGAAGAATGATGGAAAATGTAGCATGTGATGAGAAAACTGAATAAAAAATGAAAAGACTTGTTTCTAATTAAAAAATAAAGAATGCAAGTGAGAAGTGATTTGTGTGGGGAAGGGGCAGAATTAGCCACTGGTTAATGGTTACTGAGGCTGGGTGACAGCTACATGGGAGTTCACTATACTATTCTATTTGGTGTATGGTTGAAATTATTCTATTTCTCTCAGTCTCAAGCAAAAGAAGATGATCTAATGTTGCTGCTCTGACAGGCTCTCTTCAGGTGATTTCCATTTCCTTGGGCAAAACACCATACTGTTTAAGAGAAAAGGAGCAACTACAGTACTGACTATGGAAAGGGCACCACAGTACTTGAGAAACAATTACAAAGATGAAAAATATTCATTAATTTAGCACAATATGGAGAAATCAATCACCAGAATTACACCAACTCGGGTTGCTTCTACCACTGAGGATAGTATACTTTTTCCTCTATACCATTATGGTCAGTATTTATTTACCTACTGATGCTGGCCATCCGACACTTTAATTTTAGAAATGCCCAAAGCCAAGAGACATGATCCAGTGTGTCCTAGTATTAGCTTTGTCTCTAATTTATAAACTACATAAGCTCAGTTGCATGACTTCATCTAAGACTCATGATCCCAAACTATAAAGTGAAAGAATTTTAGGAGTTCATCTCTTGGAGTCGTAAACCTGGGGACTAGGGCCTATGGATAAGTTTCCGCAGGATTATAAAAGCCCTAGAAATTCCAAGAAAGTTTTGCCTACATTTCTACCTGCATTTTCTGGGGAGAGATTCAATACCTTTCAGCAGATTCTCAAAAGGAGCCAAGACTCACTTGGCTTCCTGCGGTTGAGAACCATTTTAATCAGGATACATTTTATTTACGAACAACTGGTAGCCAAGGTATGGAGTATGGGTCTGGCCAGGTTTTTTAATCCAGATTCTGTACTCTTTAAACTGTACATTCACAAAATACAATGCTTTGTTAAGGTACTGTTTTAACAAGGCAAACTTTCTACAATCCCACACTTCTAAGAAAATTGTATATTATGAAAACAATGCACAAGGCTTTGAGTCATAACGATTTAGTTTTCTACTTTCCAGATACATTAACCTGCTGAATCGCCTGGAGGCATGTTTTGAGTTATAAAGCAAGATCCAAGGGATCATTCTAGGCCTATCATAAATCCCTTCCCTAGGCAGACAATGACAGGAGCGAGAGATAAAAAGGCAGGCCCTCTAATTAGAAACATATTTTAAATGTTGGGTCTAAATTTCCGGTCACGTATTTCAAGCGAGATTTGAAATTCCTCCTGGAGATACCCGCTTTGATCAGTCCAGAGTGCGCCCGAAGCCGAACCGAGAAATTGAGGCAAAGGTTCTGCCAAGTACAAGGGCATGGACAAGTGGAGACCGCGGACAAGCGAAGTGGGGCATGAAAGTTGGAGGTGAGAAGGGAGGAGGAAAAGCAGGTTGCTGTCGGCAAGGAAGCTAGGGAAACCAGCAGGGACTGCAAGCGCGGCCTCCGGAGTCCTTCGGGGTTACGCCGCAGTTCAGCCCCTTCCCCTCTCTCAGCTCGAATCTTCCTGCTCTTTCCAGACAGACAGGGGACTCCCGCCATCCCCAGAGTTCCCAACAGACCCTTCTCGGAGAGAGGCCGCGCCCGGGAAAAAGGGCGGGAACCCAAACACTCACAATCCCCCCCTCCTCTGGGCCAAAGTTGCCCCCAGCTCCCGGGAGCGGCCGCGGCCTCCGGCCCCCGGCCCGCTCCTACCCGGCCCCGGTCGGCCTTACCTTGAGCGCCAGGTGGTGGACGCGGCCCAGGCCAGGCTCGACCAGCAGCTGCAGCAGCCCCAGTAGTGGGAACAGCCGAAGGCCGGCGGTCAGCCGAGGACTGCGGGAGCCCAAAGAGCCGACGGGCGCCGGGGCGGCCATATTTGTTCCAGCATCACCAGCCGCTTCCTCTCCCGCCCACTTCCGGGGGTTAAAGGGCGGCGGCCGCCGGAAGGGCCTGGAAGGTGGGGTCAGGGGCTCCGCGGCCAGCGGCGCGGGGACTGTGGCTTTTTTCTTGGAGTGTGGGGCCCGGGAAGTCGCCGAGAGGCCTAAGCTGGCTACTTCGAGGCCGTTCAGTTGGCTTCCGCTGTGAGGACTTTAGGTTTAGCCAGAAGAGGTGGCGCCTCCAGTGGGGACCCTGTGGCGGTTGCCATGGCAGCAGTCGCTGGGCAGGACCAGCCCGGTCGTCGCCTCAGCCCGGCGGAGCTTGGAAAGCGACCTTGGGCCTGCGCGACTCGGCCCACCGAGTCACCCCGCTTTCCAAAGGGTGGGGGTACCGCCAGGGTGCCTGGCCGTTGATGGGACTGATTTCCCGAGCAGCGTTGACTCGGTGGAAAATGCCAAGTTCGTGGCTTGTCTTTTAGTCCTTTGGTTTTTTTGAGGCTCTTCACACTGAAATTTTTGACGAAGTGGTTGTAGTGATAGGAATTTATTGAGCCCTTATCAGGCACTTCGTTAGACCTTTTGTGTGCATTTTTGCATTTAATCCTTGGAACAATCTGATGAGATAGGAGGTAGGTATAAGCATTATCCCCCTTTACCGGTAAGCAAACTGAAGCTCTAAGAAATCAAGTCATTTGTTCCAGGTTGAACTGGGAATCACGTGGAAACTACTAAATACTGTGTTATATTGCTTCATGCTAGTTTATCCGACCACTAGAGTATGAATCTTTTAATTCTGTGTGGAAACTTCCTTTGCCTCTTATCTTTGGAATTTGTAGGGAGACCTTTTTTTATTATTATTTTTTAAATTTATGTAAGGAGATCTTTAAGGGAAGGAATCCTTCAACTCACTATTTTTTATCAAGGAGTTGTAGAGGAACGTGCTTATTAAAATTGCCAATAGACTAGCTAGGTTTATTTAGTTTTTAGTTTTTTGAGTTTTTTTTCATTGTTTTTGTTTTGTTTTTCTTGCCACACAAATAATGCATGCTCCTTGTGTGCAATCATTTAAGCAAAAGAGGAGTAAATAAAAACCACCAGGAATCCCAATACTGAGTGACTATCAGTGTACTAATGTGTTTTATGACAGAATCAGATTCTTTGTTTTTAACTGGACCTAGAAACTGAAATTAACATGATATATTTAAATGGAGCTAAAGTGCTGCACTCAGGTTAGAAAGAATCAGTTGGGAAAGTACAGAAGAGAGGAGGGAGGGTCCTAGATCTTTCAGCTGTGCAATCATAGTAGTAAAAGTCATGAATCTATGAATTCTTCCCTTGAGTCAAAAACCAGTACAGGTTCTGTCACACCCTCTGCAAGAACAAAAACAGGGTACTGAGGTGTAGCCGAGAAGCTAGAAAGGCAATGTTTACTATTTGGTGGTTTACTTCTTTCTCCAACCTCATATCCTTAGCCATCTATTGTGAATATGCAACCTTACTTCTTTGAACAGAATTCTCATCTGATCTTACCCCATCTTACAGGAAACTGAGAAGAAGAAACTTCATTGTTTTAGAAATCCACAAAGGAGATAATAGTTAATCTATTTATTGAGCAATTAAGTTTGCCAAATATTCTGCTAAGTACTTTATATGTACATTTTATAATTTAAGACCAAAATCTTTATAAGATCTATATTTTTGTTCCTTTTTTAAAGATAAGACTTGGTTAGATAAATTAATTTATTCAGGATGGTCTGATCATTTATAAATGACTCTCATTCAGGCCTCTCCCATAAAGCCCAGCACTTAATCCCTGTCCTGCAATTGTTTCAAAAATTTCATTTCATATGAGGCTGGAAGGGTCCTTAGATAATCAACAGATCCTTTCACCTTATTTAACAGATGTGAAAACAAATACAAGGAACTCAAGTGATTTGCTCAAGATCACACAATGAGTTGGGTAATTTTTGGCAAGCATCTTTAGAACCAGGACTGGAGCCTCATCTGCTTCAGAACAGGGTCTGCACTTCTTGCACTATACCGTACATGGCTTTCTAATTCTTATAATTTTATTATTATTATTTTTAATTCTTATAATTTTAAATTTTCAAAAAATAAAATCCCAGAATCTGAGTAACCAGTGTGTTATCAAGTGAAATGCAAGAGAAATTTTCAGAAAGTATTTTAACAATCAGCAGTATGAAAGAACATAGAAGAAATGTAAAATAGTTGATACTTTCTTTTAGGTATCTAGAGGAAATACCAAAGGCAGCTGATTCTCACTTCAGTATGAAACTAATCGTTAAAAGAAATGGGGATTTTCAAGTGCAGTTTCATTTTTAAGGGCAATTTACAGTGTTGGAGTATTATTATAGTTTACTTTTTAAAGTGTACCATTTTTGAGAATCTCTGGTTTTAAATTTGAATATAATAGGCTTCTAAAAACGGATTGATCAGGAAGAATATTAATTTTATTTAATATTATAATAACTAGTTTATAAAGTAGAAGACGTTTGTCTTTTAGTCTCTGGAAAACAGTTTTACGAGGGCTCAAAGCTGGGTTCTTATTCCTTGCTTGTTTTCACTTGGGAATTATTACGTGACCTTCACAGGGTCACATACCAATGGCATCTGTCCAGACGTTTATGAGGAATAGTTTCTTCAGGTATTTGAGAACTATATTGTGCCAGTCATTAGCTTGGAATTGAGAGAAGTAAGAAAGGGAACACAAATTACAAAGACCTAAGTGAAGTATTGATTAGACAGTTACTTCTCAAATTCTGTGAAAACTGCTATCTTGGCAATTTTATATTTATTTATATATTTTTATATTTAAACACATGATTTCAGAGTTTCAAGAACAGATTATTTGCATAATCATGGTACTGTAACTGGGAACAGACCTGTTGAGTAACAGAACAAGTTAGGCCTGCCTCTCCCTGGCAACATTTTCAAAGGGGCATTAAACTTTGAGGTACTGACTGAAAAGGCCTGGAGGGGCTGGAAATACTGTCTCCTAAATCTGACTTTCAGCCTTATCCTCTTAGTCAAGTGGATTTTATTTTTCTATTTCCTCTAACCTTGCAAGGTCCACTGAAGTTTGCCACTAGTAGCAGAATTGGTAGTTTGAACCTAGTGTGATTCATAATGTTTAGCATCAGTTGAGAAATTTCCAGAGATGTTTAATGTAATTATTGCGTTAATATTCTCCAGTTATGATTGCCATTTGTCTTTCTTATCAAAAGAGATGACATTTCAGACCAAAACCCTCTATAAACACAGTATAGCGAACCAAAAGTCAAATTGGGGTCTGGCAACACATTCAGAAGTCAAATGTCACTTTTGTTCTTCAGCTTGAAATGTCATTTCTTGGGGCATGGGGGAAGCCCACGGCCTCTCCTTGCAGAGAGTGATCTTGGAAAAGCTAGGCCCTGACCCATCTTGAATTCTGCAGGCTGCAGAAAAATTTCCAATTCACTACTCCTCAGTTTGGTGGCGCAGTGTGTAACTTGCTCAGCCACATACAGCTGGTTTTTCCTGATTTTATGCACATCTTTATAGAACTTCAGGGGAATTCCACTATCAGGTACAAAAATTGGTTTCAGTTTTAAGATTCTACTCACCACAGAGTTCCTACTTTTATCCCACTTTAGCTTTTTCCACTAGAGTTTGAATGATAAGTAAATGGAGAATTTAAAGCTAGAAACTGATGGAAGCTATTTTAATGGAAAAAAAAAATCTTCAGAATTTCATTAGGAAGTGTACTTCACCAATAGACAACCGCCAATCAATTGTAGTTGAGGCAGTCTGTCTTGCTGCATCAGAAGTGCTTTAAAGGATTGCTTTACTTGATAGAGGAAGTAAAAATCCTCCAGAAAACAAGAGGAAAGGAAAGGGAACCAATACTTGCGCCCTCACGTGCTAAGCATTTTACATGTATTCTTTTTTTTTTTTTGCGGTACGCGGGCCTCTCACTGCTGGGGCCCCTCCCGTTAAGGAGCACAGGCTCCGGACGCGCAGGCTCAGCGGCCATGGCTCACTGGCCCAGCTGCTCCGCGGCATGTGGGATCCTCCCGGACCGGGGCATGAACACGTGTCCCCTGCATCGGCAGGCGGACTCTCAACCACTGGGCCACCAGGGAAGCCCCAAAGGTTTCCTTTTAATATGGTCTCTCTCTTTTTTTTTCTGCCGTCCCTTCCTCTTTGTCCCTCTTCTTTCACTTCTTTGGAGCAGCAGGTTGCTTTTCCTCCTGATTAGCATCTTTTCACAAGTGGTCACTCTGGTTTTGAGAAGTCTTCTAGAAGGCAGTCAAGTGTACTTGAAAAAATATTAAACCTTGGTAGGAAGGGAAATTGAGGTGAATACTGAGGCAGGGTCTTGTTAGATGATCTGCATTTCACTTACCATTTCCAAATAGCCAACTAAACTGTGCAGTATTGTTTGCATTTCTAACCCCTCCAACTCACTCTGGCTATTAATCTACCTTGGGAGATAAGTGGATGGCAGTTCTGATTGTTACACATCTAGCAGGCTTGGGTAAAGAGTTCCCAGACCTGGTAACTGAGAACAAAATATTTAAATACACACACTAAAAACAAGGGGATGGAGGGAACTTGTAACTGAAAAAAGACCAAAACAGTTTTGACAGTTTAAATTTATTGTAATTCTGTCCAACAAAGGAAGTAGAACTTGGTTTATCTGCAAGAGTAAAACACCACCCTTGCTCCACCCTCTCGTGGAGAATAAGCTGGTTGAGGCTGGGTGTAGTGGGACTGGAGAGATGCACCACTGTGAAATATTTCTAAAATGGAGCCCATTTTAGGAGTCCACAGTTATTCAGAAAAGTCAGTAGCATTAGCTGAGGAAGAAAGAAAAGTTGGGGAGAAAAGGCCTACTGATTCAGAGGAAGGAGTTGGAACTCAAGCAATTCTCCATTCCTGGAATGTTATTTGTGTAGACCCTCCAAATACAGAGAAAAAGGAGTCCGTATCTACTGAAAAATGAGCTCAGTTTACCAACAACAGGCCAGGTAACAGGTGCTCATTTCCTTGATCCTCGCCAGCACATGGCAAGATGGCTACGTTATTAAATAACTCCATTTGTCAGGCGAGGGCTCTGAGCTTCTAGAGGTGGAGGCATTGTCGGAGGCCACCCAGCTAGTAAGTGCGGGAGGCTGGATTGGAACCAAACGCGTTATCTGTGGACCCAGCGACTTTCCTTTTACCCACTAAGCGGCAACGTGATTTCACGTCTGAGAGTTTCTTGGCCGAACAAGTTGGAAATCACTGGTTTCAGAGTTTAGAAATCACTGGTTGTGCGCCCCTGGATTCCTTCCCCAGGAATCAAACTCTAAGCTGTTTGGCCGCTCCTTGCCTCGACGTCCCTCTGTGTGCAGTACACACACAGCACCGTACCAGGTCCCACTCCCACCGCGCAAGGCTGCAAGGCTCCTCGGGCCTCCACGGTTCCCGAGCGGTGGGGAAACACCATGCGAGCGAACTCCTGTCGGTGTGAATGGCTGCCAGGGAAAAGTATGGTCCTGAAATTCAAAGCGGCGGTCGGCGCAGGGGAGCAACCTCAGGCCTCTGCAGAGCACCCGTAATAACAGGGGCCGGCTATGTTCAAAGGCGAGTGGTTGTCCTAAGAGCAGAGAGTGTGGTTGCTAATAAGTAATAAAAAAAATCGGGGGGGTTGGGGGGGAAGGTCCGGGCCTCCAAGTCCCGGCGGTCCCCCCTCCTCCCTCCGGGTCCTTCCGGACCCCCGGGCCACGTGGGCGGGGCGGAGGGCCCCTAGGGGGAGGTGGGGCCGGGGCCGGGGGCGGGGCGCGCGCGTGCGCGAGCTGTCAGGCCGACCCCGCCCCCGGCGTGCAGTCCCGCCCCCTCCCGCCCCTCCCCCGCCCCTCCCGCCCCTCCCCCGCCCCTCCCGCCCCTCCCCCGCCCCTTGCTCTCCGGCTGTGGGGCGGGCGGGCTGGCGGGCGCTGCGGCGACCGCGACTGCTGCTTCCTCGGGCCATTTTGCTGAGGAGCGAAGGGGAGGAGGAGCCGCCGAGGAGACTCAAGGCGAGGAGCGGCGAGCCGGAGGAGGCGGCGGCCGCGCGGGCACGGGCTTTCCTCGATCGCGGGGATCTCGAGGGGCGAAGGGATCGCCTGGGAGGGGGACTGGAGAGCCGCGCCTGCCGCGCGGCGCGCCCCTTCCCGCCCCCTGCACCATGAGCTGGGGCACCGAGCTCTGGGTGAGTGAGGGGCTGGGCCCGCCGGGATGCTGGGGAAGGTGCCTGGCGCGCCTGGGCGCGGGGCGCGGGCCGGGCTGCCCGGGTGGACGCGACCGCGCGCTGGTCGGGGTCCCGGCGGCCTGGGGGTAGGCGCTGGTACGGGAGCCTCTCGTCGGCCTTGGCTTGAGCAGGAGGTGCGAGCCAGATTCGCCCTTCGGAGGTGAGGGGCGCTGGGGTGGGTCCCCGGCGGCCCGAGCAGGGGGTTCGGATCAGGGTCCCCCCGCGGCCTGAGCCGGAGGCGCGGGCGGGACTCCCTCTCCTCGGCGCCCCGAGGCCAGCGGTGTGTGTTGGGAAGAGCCTTAATCCCACGGAGCGAGTAACCGATGCGTCGCGGGCCGACCCAATGGGGGCGTGGAGGCCCGGGGATTTTCAGGGCTGCGTTCGGTGTTCGGCGCCCAGACCCGAGGTCCTCGGCTGCTTTCTCTTCGTGGAGGTGCGGGAGGGTCGGGCGCTCCTCCGGGGGGCGGGGCGGCCCAGGCGGGGCCGGTCCCGGGTCTTGGGTTTTGGGGCGCAGGGGCGAGAACTGGTGTCTTCCTCCTAGTGGCGAGGACGTTTGCACTGCGGTGGTCTAGGGGTGCACTTGTGATTTTTTGAGGGGCAGCTCAGATCCTCGATTTGATGTGGGGACTGCGGCGTTTGGCCTGGAGAGGAAAGTAGTCGGAGTTAGAGGGAGATCTGGTGTTATCACCTTCAGGAAGAGGCATTCGCGGGGTAGATTTTATATTTTTTAACTGCTCAGAGGAAAGAGTCTAAACTGGGGTAGGGAGCGCCCCGCCGGGATTCTTAACCTGGGGCGCGGATGGATAAACAAGTAGCGTGCCGTCTGGAAGCTCCTCTCCCCGGACCAAGGGGACAGGAGGATGCCAAGGCGGTGCACAGGCCGTCCTCGGGGAGGAGAGGCAGAGGCTTGTGGACTGGAGCTTGTTTCCCTGCCTTCCTCTGGATTCCTGAGGCAATCACTAGGCAAGGGATGGGCAGAGCAGAGTCCAGAGGGAGGAGTAGATGAAATCTCAATTATCGCCCTGAAGTATTCTCAAGATGAGACATTTCCCATGATGAACTCGAAAGTGCCTCCCATCGGAATCCCATTTGTAAAGGGCGTGGAGGAGAAAGCGTGGGGTGGTGGCTGCTCTCTGAGCTGAGGCGAGGAAATATCACGTCAAAATAAAACAAGGTTAGAGCAGCTATAGAAACAGCGCATCCTCCCTTAATTTTTTTTTTTTTTGCTTTAATTGTTTTTACATAACCATTTCTTAGGCTCAGAAACAGCCACTGGTATTAAAACCAAAATCCTGAAGGCAATAGCTCCCTTACATGAAGATAACTCATTTTATAAACATCCTCTATCAAAAGGGACTCCAATTTTCGACTGATGTTTACAAATATTCATTTAAAAAATAAAGTAACACATGGTTTTAAGTATTTACACACGGCCAATTAGGCGGAATCTACCATTTTAAGTGTTGAATTTCTGTCTTCTTCTATTCCTTCTCCACTTCCTTTGGCTCTTTTTACCTTTTCTGGGATGAGGGGAACAAATCAGAAGTAATTTTTCATCAAGAGAATAGAAAATTTGGCACGATTTTTTTTTCACTTGTTCAAACTAGAGAAAGGAATTATTGGGATGGGGGGAATACAATATATTTCTGAGTGAAATAGGCTGTAGTTAAAGGAACTGAACACAATGGTGGGCACTTCACGGTGATGTTGGTGAACGTTATAGAAGGTGATCCAGAAGGGGGGGGTAGCTAAGAGAAGAAAACCAGTTAAATAGCTACAATCACCTGTATTCTGTACACTTCTTTTTGGAGGTAGAGGGTGGGAAGGAAGGCAAAGACAGGAAGTTGTTGAAAATCAGTCGGAACTGGAATATATATGAATGAAAGGAAATCTTGGATTTGCTTCAAAAGAATTTGGGGTGGTAGTGGATGGGGATGTCGATGAAGGGAACGTGCTTGGGAGTTGGTCATTGTTGAAGCTGGGTGATGGGTACAGGAGGACTTGTGATACCATGCTTTCTACTGTCTATGCTTGAAATTTCCTACAGTGAAAATAATTGGAAAAGACTTTTAAGGGAGAAGGTGTGTAAACTAATTGAGAATTTTTTTCACTTGTTTTTAAGTTTATGAGGAAGAATGACTCATCCGTTGTCTCTATACAAGTATATGTCAGCGAAGAGTTAAAAAAAAGAAAAAGGCATTCCAGTAGAGTATTGCCCTTTGCCCTTGAGTGGCTTGGAGGTTAATAGAGGGAAAAGAATGATCACATAATTTGTGCTAAGAGAAGTGCAAAATCTGAGTTTAAATTCCAAGAAGTAGAAGGGGAACGAAATGTCTGTTTCCAGTTGCCTTGTTTTATTAATATTTGAGATTTTTTAAAAATTAGAATAATGAAAGATTCTGAAAAATAAACCTCCAGTTCTCTGGTGGTGAGAGACTCAGCGTTGTGTGGTGTGTTGGGCAGCAATGGGCAGCCTGGCAGGGCTGTGATTGAGGGTTTTCCTTGAATGGTGGCTGTGGGGATCATACACATAGGTAATGAGATAATGATGGGGCGCTCAGGCCTAACTTGGCAGAATGATGCTTCCATATGGAGAGAGAAGGAGCTCTGGTTCCGTAGCCACGAGTTCTTTGTAATAGGTGTTTGCAGCTTTCATAGACCTTCACAAATGCCATCAAGTTTCGCACACATTTTAGGATGCCAGCCAATGTGCATGCAGGCTTTTCAAAACGACAGGTTTCTAACATGCACTTTACATTAAAGGCCTGTTCTTAGCCACATCCTGCTTTGTAGACAGAGTAAAACCGTTCTCTTTTCTCCTTTTTTTTTTTTTTTAACCTCTCCATAGGCATAAACTTTGATATCCTAGGACATTTTTGAGAAATCATGAAATGTCAGGAAGTTATCAGGCAATCATAAAAATGGACTCAAAACCCATAATTGGTAATAACTTTATTGGATTAGATTGTATTAAAATAGGGGCTTTCTATTTTATATCAGAAGTTATAACAAAGTATAAATGGCTGGTTTAAAGTGATTAGGGTAAAATTGTTTCTGTACCAAAATTAACCAAAATGCATTTACTCAAGACTTTGTTTAAAAAGTCATGTTAATAGGCTGAATAGTTTTCACTGACTTGTTGAAATTGTGACTGGTCATTGGAGAAATGGCAAAGCAAGAATTTCTTACATTTGAATTTTTTTTTTTTTTGGTTTTGTACCTACATGTTAGAAAGAAGTGAGAAGTTACTGAAGTGTCAGCTCAACTTTTTGTAAGCTTGATCATTAATGTGAAGTAAGAAAAAGTCCATTGGAAATTTTAGCTTTCCTTATAACTGTTCTACTCTTTGTGGCTAAAAATTTACTCAGTGATAGAATCTACCTTTATCTCCTAGTGTCCTCTCTGCCATCTTTCTTTTGGTGCTAATGAGAAATGGAGTAGCCCAAAATAATAACAGCAAGAAAGCAAACAGAGAGACCCGAATAATACATATTGGTTAACATATTACTATGTTAAGCCACCTGTGTTGATTGTACTTAATTTTTTTTCTTAAACCTACGTTTTTAGGACAGTGTCAGGCATATAATGTGCATTCCACAATTTGTTGAATATAATGACATTGATTGTGGTGTGCACCTTTAAGAGGCAGCAGTGAAAGAGTTGTCTACCAACTGGACCAGGAACAATGCCTGCCTCACAGTCGGGAGTTCAAGAAATATTTATTGAGGGACTGGAGCAACTAAGGGACTGGACCAATTGAGGGACTGGAGCAACTAAGCCCGGGCGCCACAACTACTGAGCCTACAAGCCACAACTACTGAGCCCGTGTGCCACAACTACTGAAGCCCGCCTGCCACAACTACTGAAGCCTATGCGCCTAGAGCCCATGCTCCGCAATAAGAAAAGCCACCGCAATGAGAAGCCCGAGCACCACAACAAAGAGTAGCCTCCGCTCACTGCAGCTAGAGAAAGCCCGCGGGCAGCAACGAAGACCCAGTGCAGCCAAAAATAAAAATATATATTAAAAAAAAAGAAAGAAAGAAATATTTATTGAATAAATGAATGAATCCTTTTTTTCATTTTGTTTTAACATTTGCTGTTTTAAAGTAATGGGAGCGTAGTTTTAATGCCTTTCTGCACTTTGGCAGTTGTAAACATTTTTTAAAAAATAATTCTAGGCACCGTTTTTTTTTAAATAGACTATTTTTTAGAGCAGTTATAGTTTCACAGCAAAATTGAGCAGAAGGTCCAGAGATTTATGCTGCTTCCTCACAAATACACAGTCTAGATCTCTGTTTGGGGGGCAGGGGGCACACTGCACGGCCTGTGGGATCTTAGTTCAGAAGTGAGGAGTCGTAACCACTGGACCGCCAGGGAAGTCCCTCTAGACCTTTTTTTAAAATAATTTTTTAAATTAATTAATTAATCTATTTATTTTTGGCTGTGTTGGGTCTTCATTGCCCAGTTGCGGTGTGCGGGCTTCTCATTGCGGTGGCTTCTCTTGTTGCGGAGCGCGGGCTCTAGGCGTGCAGGCTTCACTAGTTGTGGCTCTCAGGCTTCAGTAGTTGTGTCCCGTGGGCTTTAGAGCACAGGCTCAGTAGTTGTGGCACACGGGCTTCGTTGCTCCACAGCATGTGGGATCTTCCTGGACCAGGGCTCGAGCCTGTGTCCCCTACATTGGCAGGCGGATTCTTAACCAGTGCGCCACCAGGGAAGCCCTAATGGACTGTTAATAGTTGCAGGATTTGGAGAATTAGTACCTCTTCTTACTGCCCAGTACTAAATGGAGTAGAGTACTAACAACAGTTCATAGCTCTTCTCCTGCTCCTTCTTCTTTAATCCTTCAGAGATTTCTGTTTGGGATAAACATGGCAAGACCAACAGGGGAGACATCACTCTTGGCACTTCGGTGAGCAGAGCAGAACTGCCTCAAAAAATAGACCAAATCAAGTTTAATTCTG